ATATTTTATTAAATCTTTTTGTTTTCAGTGAGACTAGATGAAGATTATTTCTATTCTGCTTTTATTTTTGTGGCTGGCTATCCGGACCGTATAAGAAAATATTATTGCAAACTCTGTTCTCATTCTACTATGCAAAAACAACACATGATTAACCATATTGTTACACATACTGGTGATCGCAATTTCAAATGCAATCGATGTGAGAAAACGTTTACTCGAAAAAGCAGTTTACTAAGGCATTGTGCTAAAAGTTGTTCTCAAGAGAGTAAATAAAATATCAAAAGCACTTTTCTTTCTGTAAGAATTAAATGGACAATTTTTTTTTTTTGTATACAGTAGTATATATCTAACTTTGTTTATTTTTATTTCTGTACGAAAAGTAAAAATAAAGGGTTGTTGAATGGACAAGGTTGTATAGAGCTGAAAGCTTTGTGCATACACAAATATATAAGACCAAAGAATTTTTGCAACGCAGTCAAAAAGTAGTATAAAAAAAAATTTTCATTAATACAATAACATTATTCCAAAAATGGTTTAAAAATTCTTTAAAAAATGTGGAAGTGAGTTTGTTTTTTATAAATAAACTATAATTCTTATTAAAAAACTGAAAATTGTATATTTTTTTATTAAAATAAATTTTTTATTTAATTTAAATTTTTATTAAAAGAATTTCTTTTTAATAATTTAAATTAGTTTTTTTTTTTTTGCGTTTAAATGTTGTATGGTTATTAAACATGGAATGTCACTTATAATCTTTATTAGATTAGCTGTTTTTGTAAGTATAATTTATTAAATTATGTGTATAATAAGGACTAGACTTTCAACTGAAAATTCAATCTTTTATCACTGTTTAATACCTGCTCTACATTATGTTCAAAGATTATATTGGATTATATAAATTGCTCTCAAGGTGTTATTTAGGAATTTAATGCTCAAAATATCTTTATAAATAGATAGCTTCTAAGTTCTAAAATGCGACATTTTTATCTATACAGATATGTAAAAATTTTGTACAAATGCACTCTGAATATAAATAAAATTCTAAGATTTATTGAAAATATCTAATATCTGTCAGTTCAATTGCATGTTTTTATCATTCATTCTTTTGTTGCTTTCATCATTATTCATTCTTGTCAAGTTTTTATCATTATTTATTCATCTGAATTTAATTTACATTTTTGATATGTTTTTCTCCTAATTAACAACTTCTCCTTATTAATCTTCTGTAATTTCTGCTAAAATTATGCAAACAGTTTATACTTTAAGAATTATGTATGGGTATTTCATTTCTTCTTTTAAAAAATAATTTAATGCTATTAGTCCTATGTCATGACACTCAATCATGACACTTCAATTAAATATTTTCAGCAATTATTTCACTTTTAATTTTTACTTAATTTTGTTTCTTGAAACACTTTTCATTTTGTAGCATAACATATTGGAAGTAAGTAAATACTGTTTAGACATTTTGCTTCTATTCTCAGTAGATCTAGTTGTTGCTAATTTTTAACTTTTTTATTCATTTTGATGTATGTAAGAAAGATGACTTTCTATTGATCTCCACACTTGTTGCATTATTGAGGATTAATTAATATTACTTCTATTTATTTATTATTATTTATTTATCTTTTTTTTATTTTATTTTTTTATGTTTACATCCATTTTAGGAATTGCAGAAATTTATAATATTATTTAAAATAGTTTTGATCTTTTATTTATGAAATTTGTTTTTAATTTTATTAAATTTACTTTCTTTCATATTTAGTTGTTGTAAAAAAAATATTTATCTTGAAAATTAATGTCTTGTCATCTATATGTGGGTAGTTATTTGATTGTTTGACATTAATTTGGATACTATCCCATTATGTATTTGTCCATAAGCTGAGAAATGATTCATTTGTGTAATTTATTTTCAGTATTAAATTGTGATCAATAAATAAATCACATGTGCCTTTTGTTAACTTTTTATAAGAATTATACAAAATTCATTTTTCCGCATAATATTTTAATTTGTTGCTATGTGTTATAATGTCTTCTTTATTTCTCTATTTTTTTTAATTGCCAGTAGTGGTTAAATACTCCTTGTTTAAATATTTATAATTTTAGTTATATTTTATGAGTCCCATTTTTCCCATGCATAATAAATTATTATTTTGATAAGTATTCTGGTATTTTGGTTTGCAATTTATTTATTTTTTGTTGGTTTATTTAAAATATACTTATTTGCAAATTTTCAAGAATTAATGGAAGCAATTCCAGAACTTAAAGCTTTGCAACTAATTAGTATATGCCTTTTATAAAAACTAGAGCTTATTAAATTTGAAATTTTTAACATTTTTTAAATGATCACATTATTTTTTATTTAAAATACATTTTCGCTTCATAGTTATCTCTTTTAGATTATTTCTTTGTTTATTTCCTCTTCTTTTGCCGTTTGAATTAAACTGACAAACTAGTTTTGGGGCAATGAGGGGGGGGGATGCAAGTAAAATTTAGCTGCATTTAGTAGGAAACATTTGTTATTTATTCTATCTAGATGTTTTTGTTTCATAATTTTGTTACTACAACTTAATAATCTCAAATAATTGTACCAGTTCACTGTTTGAAGTTGTGATTAACTTATGTTTGCTGCAGATTATATGTTTTTCATAAAAAATTATACAACTTCTTCATCAATATTTTTGATAGATTTTTAAAAGGAAGGAAAGTTATCATTATATTAAATATGTTTTTTTCTCTTCTTCAGTTTATTGTGTTTCAAACTTCATATTTTCTCATTTTTAAAATTATTTTTTATTTAGCATGCTCATTGAAACAAAATTATGTTAAAGTTATTTTATTTAGTTTAAAAATATTTCATTATCTCCTGAAATATATAATTTATAATATTTATTATTTTTAATTTATACTTTTTATTTATGATTATACTATTTAAATTTTTTATTTTGAAGTTTTTTTTTTATGAAAGGCTTTAAGGCAATATAATGAAAAACCATCACACTTTAAATGTAAGGTGATATTTTTATATTAAATTGTTTTTTAGCATTGTTTTTTGTTATTTTGATAAGTATTGTAGTTAGTTTGTAGGATTTCCTCCAGTTGGCAGCCTTTAGTTTACATGAAAATCATGGCAATTTCACTAAAAATACTTTCCTAAACGATTTGAAAAGTGTCGCTGATCATTCTATTGCCTCAAAACTCTCTTTCAAATATAACTTACTAGAAATATTTTATAAAAAAAATATGCATGTGTTATTTCATGTTCATTTTAATGTTTTTTGTGAATAATATGCTATTTTAATTACTTATGTGAATTTGTAACAGTTATTCATGATTGTTAGGATAAGTTTTGCTGATCTTAAGCCAATGCCCTCTATGCTAATTTTGAAATTGATGCAAAGTGGGACTATGAAAAAAGAACCACATTTTAATGAAAATGAAAAACATTTGCGATTGTATTTTTTAATAATTGATAATTAATTTTTTTATAGTTAAAAAGTTACCGAGAGTCTAATAAATTAAAAGTGGGCTCTTAAAACTTGCAAAAGTATAGAATTATCAATTAATTTTTATAATTCTCATCAATATCTCGCCAAATTTGGATTTTTTTAAAACGTTTAACAGAGTTTTTTTAAACTAATTTAGCTATATATCTGCTTTAAAGCTTAGATATTTCTTTATAGAGAGATGGTTTCTATAGTTTAAAATTATTGGGGCACTTTGAAAAGACGCTTACAGGAAGTGCCCAGATCGTAATGCCACCAAATCAATTAAAAAATGTTCTTTTATTTAATAAAAATATAAAGGTATCAAAATAGTTCTCTCCTGCTTAAATATTTTGCTTCCTGCAAGATTTTCTGACATGTCCTAGATGCCTTTTTGACTTTATCAACTGTGTAAAAATGATGTTCTTTCACAGGAAATTTTAAGTGCAGGAACAAGAAGTTGGTAGAACTACATCAGAATTGTAGAGTAGTTTGAAATCTGTTGACACTTTTGAATTGGTCTGGTTTCAAATCTCAAGGTTAAGAGAAGAGCAAGTTGCATTGTCATGATAGAGCTTTCAAAGGTCAGGCCAAGCACAATGAATCCTTTCTTTGAGTCCTTTGACTAGGTCCACCTAGAATTTGATGTTAGTAGTTATGCAGTCAGATGTTCCTCTTAATTATAAAAGCAGGATAAGCATGGTCTTGATCTTAGATTTGCTCATTCTGGCTTTTGTTCTAGACTTTGTTTCGAGTTCATACTCTAAACTTCAAGACTTGTCTCCATTGTCTAAAGATTGAATTTCAGCCCCAGAGTTACTGACATGTTTTAAATTGGTGTAATTTTTTGTCATCCATAGACACTTCGGGCACTCCGTTGGCGTGCTCGTTTATCATCTGTAGATTATCGGTTACTATTTTGTAAATGATAGTTTTTATCATGTTTGTGCTTTTAAAAGAATACTCAAACGATATTGTTAATGTGCTTCCTGTTTAAATTTCATCATGGACCTCTTTACAGCTTTCAATTTATACCTTCCAATAGACTTGGTGTTTTAATAAATATCAACAAAGGCTTTTTTCGTCACAGGGAAACATTCCATTGTGGACTTGCTAATTTTCAAACAAAAGTTTATATCAAACGTTTGCTCCAGAAAGTGTTGCTTTATGGTTTGCATGCAAGATGAAAATAAGTTTCACAAAAATTTTTGCTACTCCCTGGATGGTTAAAGTTTATTGAGTGACCATATGTGTACAAGCTGACTGCCTTAATTATGGATCAAAACTGGTCTTCCTAGTAAAATATATGACATTACTTTCTGGGCTCTCCCTGTAAATTGCGGCATTCTTATATTGCTTTGCGAAAAGGCTTTGATAAATTCCTTTAATATATTCTTCCATAAAGATCTCTTCTTTTTTTTTTTTTTTTTGGATATTAATTTATTTCTCAATTTTCTTTTTTAATTTTTAGTTTCACATAATTTATCTGATAAATTGAAAAAAATTACAAACTTAACTAAACAAAAAAAACTTAAGTTAACTTAATTTTATTAAAAGTTTTTGTTTGCATCTTATATTTTTTACTTTTTAACCCTAGACAGCATTACCTGTGTCATTTTTTAGTAGTTTCAATAAAAAGACTGATTGACAGCTGCTTAAAAAAAAAAACTTGCTCAGTCTAGGGTTGAAAACTATATATTAACTCACTTTTTCTGTAGTCAATTTATTATTAATATCTTAATTCTAGTTGTGTTAGCCTGGTCCACTGCAAATGGTTTAACACGGAAACATCCTATTTATGTGTGCCAACTATGTCCATACTCTACCCCTAGGAGATATAATATGCGTACTCACCAAGTCAAGCATACTGGGGAACGTCCATTTAACTGTTCTGAATGTGGCAAATTTTTCACGCAGAGAAGCAGTTTGAATTCACATCGTCGACGTGCTCATTTGCAATTGACTGAAGGTAATATTTTCTGAAATAATTTGTTTCTATTTCCTCTCAAATAAATTAAAAAATTATTGTGTGGACACTGGTAAGTTAACTCTATATCGGATACATAACTTTTTCTTGTAAGTGGCGACTGAAAATATAGATATTTTGCTTTAAGGGCAATTCAATATTTATATCAATTGATTATTTAGTAGTTATTCCTTTGCATGTTATGAAAAATATTAATTTGTCATGAAAATTGAAAGACAAAGTATGTGCATAATATTACTGAATTGGAAAATCATTTGAAGTTTTTCAAGCTTTTTCTTCTTTCGGGAAATTAGATTATAACTGATTTTTAGCTTTTTTTCTCTTTGTCTTGCATATTTAATTTAAAACTACATTTGTTTTGAACATGTTTTTGTTTTTCTTTAAATATATGTATGTATATATGTATAAAGTCAAAAATATAGAATCGCTAAAAATTTATGAAAAGAGAAGAAACATTGCAAAAATGAAATATTTAAGAATTTTATTTTAAAAAAATTAAAAGTTTTTAAACAAATTAATGACAGATGTAATCTCATCATCAGCTCGTAGGATTATATGCTAAAAAAAAGAGTGTTTTCTAATATTGTATTAATATAGCCAAAGCAAAATATACCAATACAATAGTGTGAGGAGCACACAAAAAATTTGAAATAAAACATATCAAGCGAAAAATAGATTTTTTTTTATTTATTAAGTATTTAGCTAATTAAATATTATTGAACCAATAACCTTTATATGACCTATTAAATCCTATATTTAAAAAAAAAAAAATTGAAAAAACTATCGAACATTAGCTCAGATAAGCTGGAATTTAAAGACTTCAAGCTCAAGCCTCTAATTGTGTACTCTGCAAAATGCATTTTCAATTCAAAGTTCAAACTCATTAAACAATTTTTTAATTGTTATTATACTTGGACTTTAAGTTATATTCATTTTCTAATTTCCTTCAATCTGCAAACTGTCTGATATTTCAAGTACCAATTAATATTGGAAAAACTATTTAGTGATAAAATTGAATAACTATTCATTCAAGTTTAACCTTTTTATCTCATTTCGCTTGTTCCATTTAGTTATCGACTTGCAATCTGGTGCTTAGATAAAATTTCTTTTTAAAAAAAGTCATTTCTGATAAAATTTCTTCATAAAATGCTACCATAATTATGATTTTTAAACACTAATAGTTTTTGGTCCAAAAGAGAAGTTGTTATAATACTTTGCAACAAGTTAATTGGTGTATAACATTCTGTTGCATGATTTTTAGTCTGTTAGAATTCCGTCCTGCAACACTTTGCCTTTGGGAAATTCTCTTAAATGATAGCTTTGTCCATCTAACATTCTCGAGAATGTTGTTCTCCATCAAAATTCATACAATTAAAAGTAACAATTTTTTTTAAACTAAGTTTTATTTATAATAAAAATATTTATCCAGCAAATCTTTTTAAAACCAATCAACTTGCATTTTATTTTAAATTTTGGTTATTATCTTTTTTCTACTTTTATTGAAGCAAATTTTTAATTTGCAGCATTTTTTTTTCTTTTTGTTATTTGAAATTTCAGGTATTTTCATTCTTTTAAATTTTCTAAACTGTCTTATTGTTTTATTTATTGCAGAAGATGCTCTTCGAATGTTACAGGAACACCAAAACAGTTTTGACATTAAAGCATGAAACCTTATTTTTGTCCTATAATATTCCTGCCATTTATATCATTTCTGAAAACAACCATGCTAATTCAGAGCACAAACTACTTCATTTTCTACTCTTCTTTTACTTAACTTTTATATAAAAGACTTTCTTTTTTTTTCTAAATATCTACAATGTATTCTAAAAACAATGGATTGTTTTGAAAATGTATCTAACTGTTTGTGTTAATATTTTATATCTGTTGTATTTTTATGAATTATTTATGTCAACTGAACTGAAAAAAACTCTAATGAGCTTAATGTGTAACATTCTTAAAGTTTATCATAGCATTAAAGATAATCAATATTTTGGTTTTTATTATATTTGACTGTTTATATATATATATTTTTATGTTTATTAAAATGTTTGTATCATTTTCACATCTATGTTAAAAGCAAAATTTTGTCTATTGTAATGGGTTTTTGTTTAAAATATTTTTGTTGAAATTGACAAGAGTGTGTGATTTATATTCTTAGTGTAAATGGAAAATGTGGGAAAATTTTTTAGAGATAAAATTATTAAAGTTACTTTCATTTATTTCGATTGTTTCATCATGTTAAAGAACGGAAAAGTTGTGCAATTGAAAAATAGAAAATTGATGTCATACTTCTATTAACTGAAGTTTGTTTTTTTTATGAAAGTGTTTATAATGTATTTGTGCAATTTATTTTAATCAAAAATATGCTGTGAATTTCTCTTCAAATGTTCTAATTTCACAAATTTTTTTTTTGTTGAGTTTATTTAATTTGATAAAAACACTTAATATTTTTTTTAAAGAAATTTTATAATTAATACAATAATAATAGTGAAAAAGTTTTAGTGCATTCGTATATTTTAGAAGATCTTAATTTATACATATTTTTATGTAAGATATATTTATTTTTTTTTTACCTTAATTTATTTCGTTTTTACGTTCATTTAGAGATTTATTTATTGCTTTTTATATTTCTGTTTAACAAAAAAAAAATTTCCATGACTGTTTAACTATGAGGTTGTTTATCTGTTATGTAAGATTGGGAGATTTTGAGCTGTGCTTTTATAAAAATTAAAACATATAAGAGGGCCAACATTTATTACGTAAGCTTATTTTATTTTGCAAGATTTCCTTTACATGCTTTTTTTTCCCATATTTGTGTTTGAACAAAAAGAAAGAAAGTGAAGGTCACATTTTCTTTATTTTTTTATGTCTTCTCCCCTACAGTGCATAATTCACAATTAAGTTAATTTAGAATAGTTAACCTATAAAAAACATTTATCAGTTTAGATTAATGAATAAAAGTGTATTGCAGATATATATATATATATACAGGGTTCCCGCAGCCTTGAAAAAACCTTGAAAAGTACTTGAATTTCATTTTGATCCCTAGAAGTACTTGAAAATGATATTAAATCCTTGAAAAATTCAAAATGACCTAGAGAAGTATCGAAAACTCAGGAAAACAGCCCTATTTCCAGCATTTCTGTGTTTAACTTTTTGACGCACGTTAGTTTGAGAGAATGACTTTCCTGCCTTTCAGATGACGACGCGTACTGTTTGATTTTAGGATTTTATGTATGTTTGGTTGATTTTAGGAATTTTAAATATTGGGAACTGCGCCAGATTCTAACAAAATCTCAATTCTTATTTAGGTAATTTTAATATCAATCATCGATCTTCGTATTAAACTCATTTAAAAGCTATGTGTTACGATTCGTTTTCGCGTGATTAAAAAATTGTACTTGCAATTCCCATTAAAGCAAGTTAAAAATCTAATATCGCGATTTGTACTTAAGCATTTTTAAACCCCAACATCGCGATTAGTTTTTCCGCAAGTTTAAAATCCAATGTCGCTATTCGCATTTTGCAATATCAAGCATCGATGTTGCAATATCAAACATTGATGTTGCAATATCAAACATCGATTTTCGTATTTATACTCTATTTGAAAACTACTCGTTACGATTCGCGTTCATGTGACCATGTCAAGTGCGTATGATCGATGCTACTGAAAAAAAATTAATTCAAGTATGAGTGGTTAATTAAAACAGTCAAAGTAACCAAAATTATTAGTAAGAATCTATCAGAAGATATTGAGGTAAAAGTTGGCAACTGATTCAATTTAAAATGGTTGGCCCGTAGTAAATTTAAAATGATAATTAAGCCGCAACATCCAATAATTGATTAATTTTCTTTAATAGAACAGTGGTCAAAATTATTAGTAAGAACAATTTAAATTTCACTGTCTAAATGCTTCTGCCACTTTAAATATTAAATAAAATCTCCCAGCAGAGTTGTTTTTAAATATCTAATTGATCTGTCCTGCCCGAATTTTTGCTTATTCAGAGGTTGTATACCTAGCTTAAAATAGGCCTTGTGCAAAATTCAAATCTGACGTTTTTATGAATCATGAATTTTATTCTTGATTTGATGCCAATCACCCTTGCTTTTTTTATACTTAGATCACTTTCCGAAATCAAGAGAGCAATGGAAGTCTTATTTTTCAGTACTGCTATTATCGTCTAACATTTATCGTCAACTAACTATTATCGTCAAAACATTTTAGTTTAAAATGAAAAATTTTAGTCTATCTTTTACTAAAATTTAAGTCCTTGAGAATTTTATAATAAGTCTTAAAAAGTCCTTGAATTTTATTTCTAAAGTAGAGCATGAACCCTGAGTGCAGACCCTTGCCACACATGAATGATAGATTTGCTTGACTATAGTAAGCAGAAGCTTTTGTTGGAGGATTGTGCTTAAGAGAGGGGGGGATATTGTCGCCGCAGTGTCCGCAGGTGGTTATGCCTGGCCTGGACAAAAGCCGTACCGACTGTCATTCTGTGTAAATTGGCGAAATTCTATCAAAGTTATAAGAAAGGCAACCCTACAAGACCCTACACTTTATATTTTCTGCCATCTCTCCGCAGGACTCAAAAGCACGTCTAAAGTAAAAAATAAAAAAACAGCGCCATCTATGTATTGCATTCAAAACAGTTTTTTTTCCTTAATGTATATAAACTATTTTAAAAATAAATTAATGCTGCATGAAAAAATATTTTTGTAATGCAAATAAAAAATAAATATAATTAACGTTTTGAAAGTATAATTTTAATTTTTATTTATATTCTGTATTATAAGTTTTTAGAAAAAATTATTTGCTTAATATTTTGAAGTTTAATTAATAAAAATATCCAAATGTATTTTTATTATTTAAAAACGTATATTTAAGAATAAAATTTCCTAAACAATTATTACTTTCAAGTATGCTTAAAAGTTAAGGGAAAAAAAGTTATTTACTTTATTAGACTAGACATTTGCTATAACCAGTCAGAAAATTTAAACACGATTTTTTTAAAATTCTAAACTCTTAAGACCATTTAAACTATTTTGAATCCAGTTTTTAAGAAGTAAGTGATTAAACTAAGATATTAAATTTGAAATGAACATTAAAATAAAAATAAAATAAAAAACAATTTATATAAATAAAACGTTTACTATTATAAATGGTATACATTCATTATTACAAAACACTTAAATTGTAATAAAAGTTAGTAAATTAATGTAATAAAAAAGCCCATCTCATTAAAAATCCTTGCTCTAAATTCAAGATATTTATAATTTCAAGGAGGATTTAAGCAATTTTTTAAAATTCAAAACTCTTAAGACCATTTAAACTATTTTGAATCCAGTTTTTAAGAAGTAAGTGATTAAACTAAGATATTAAATTTAAAATGAACATTAAAATAAAATAAAAATAAAAAGCAGTTTATATAAATAAAACGTTTACTATTATAAATGGTATACATTCATTATTACAAAATACTTAAATTGTAATAAAAGTTAGTAAATTAATGTAATAAAAAAGCCCATTTCAATAAAAATCCTTGCTCTAAAATCAAGATATTTATAATTTCAAGGAGGATTTAAGCAATTTACAATGTTTTTTTATTTATTTATTTTCTATAAATAGATTTTTTTATTTACATGAATTTTAAACTTACCTATTCATTTTTGTTTTGAAGAAGGTTTAAAAAAAGGAATCATAGTCTGGAAAAAATTTATGTTAATTTCATTTGGGGCTTACAGTAATAATTTTCAAGCGACCAAAACATAAACAATGGGAAAAGTTTTCATATCGCTTCCTCCTAAAATGCCAAAAAACAAACAATAACGGACCTTTAGCCTTTTACTGCTATCATATAAAATTACTACTAGATTTTTTTTTTACCATGAATTATAAAAATTATAAATTTTTTATTAAATCCTTTAACGTTAAAAATAAATGTATCCCTTATTCAATAAAAAAATAATAATAAGTCTTCAATTAGAAAAAGTCTTCAATAAGTATTCAATTCAATAAGTCTTTCTTAAGTACATGTTTAATACAATAAATTTAACAAAATTTTATAATAAACAATCGAAAAAATAAAAACTTTTTCTCAATGAACAAAGGAATTGTTCTAGTTAAAAGTATTAATATTTATTCTTATTTTTAAGGGAATATGTATTAAATTTTTCTAGAAAGAAAGAATATATTATATTTCGAGTTAAAAATTATACTTCAGAAAATGATTTCAAAAAGAAAAAATAAATAATTATATATATTTATTTAAAAATTTTAATAAAATTTAAAATGATTATTTTTTAATAAAATTATTTTTTTAAAAAATATAATAGGTAATACCACATAAAGTATATTTAGATTATAGTAAAATAATAAAATTCAAGTTTTTAATATTCTATGTAAAAAATTAGCAGTTTTCAAAGAATAATAAAAGTTGTTTTTTTCCTCTCAAAAATACGGTTAACGTTTTATGGATTTTTTCCATTCTCTCCTGATTTTTTTCAAATTTTTGAGTTAAAAGCACATTTTTTACCAACTCTGCATCTATTCATTATTAATCTATTGTAACATTACACTTAATTAACGGTATACAATAAAGGTCCTGTAACTAATTAAGTGTAAGAGGCCAAACAACGGTNGAAGATAAGCTAAATATTTGCTTATTTTTGTTGACAAGTAAAGAGAGGAATCAAAAACATACTTACTTAATAATGTGAATTACTTCCAATATACTAATTTTTTAATATCTTCAGTGGAAGATATTTTCTTAATTTCATTTTTATTCCAAATACTCTTTACTTTTATTTAAAATTTGGTCATTTTGTTTTATTATTATTATGTAAGGGTTGCCCAAGTTAATAGTTTATATATGTGTTAACATAAGAAACACAGTAGCAATAGAAATGCCACTTGTCATAGTTATTAAAAATGATAGAAGAAGTGCACTACAGGCTGTTTATAACTGATTAGCAGATTCATGTGAGAGTATGTAAATTGAACGTCAAATCATGCAAAAGACAGATAGTACCAGAATAGAACAACTGACAAAAGTCAGGTTTTTCATAGGAGAAATTAATTGCAATATTCCTTACTTAAGTTAGTGTGTTGCTCAAATATTACTAGAGCAGTTTTTTTAATCATTTCATTAAGAGTACCAATGCATTCATTGGAGAGCACAGTGTTTGGCTTGCTTGCTCTGGTATTGGTTTCATGCTGGATATTGATGACACTCTTTCGTTTGTTTGTTTTTTATTATTATTTAGTCTCATTGCCATTCTTCCTAGACAGTACTAGCCGCAAATAACAATCACTTGATGATAAATGCTCATGTTACTCTAAACTTTTTGTAGTCGCTAAAAATTGTAGTGCTGCATATAGTTCTATTCTAGTCACATCAGTCTTTAGCATAGCTTAACATTATTTTTAAATGTTTTCACGGGAATGCCCTTATAAAACTAGTTGATGCTATAGTATGTCCAATCTGGATTAATCTTTCTTAGCTCAACTTTACATTCTCTTCAAATGCTCTCATTTTATTAGTTTAATCAGTATTGCGGTGCATATTTATTACCCCGAATGGTGGTGCTGTTCTCACTTTTGTATTTCTGATTTTATCACAAATGTCCACTTTTCATTTTGGCAACCCTTATAATTGATTCTTTTCTTAAATTGAAAATATTTATATTATTCTATTAATAAATATCTTATTACTCTTACCACAAAATTGCTTTGTATTTTCGTAAGGCATTAAAAATTTAGTTTATTATTTCAAATGTAAGAAAATGTGTTGCCATTATTTTCTATGAAAGAAATGTTATTAGAATTGAAATTTTTTCAAAAATTTATTGTTATGAAAGTTTAATAAAATGATACTATTATTTGTTTTGATTCTTAGAAGAGTAGACTAATAAAAAAAAATTTATGAAGACTTGATTTTAATGTTGTCTTTATCAAAATAAAAAGTTTTACGAAGCCAATGATGATAATTCTCTGAGGCTAATATTTTTAAATTAAAGGTAATGTATCTGTCCATTTTACAAGTATGTTTAACTTTTGTTATTTTAATTTTTTTAATTAATCAATAACTCTTCTCATTTAATTTTCCTGAAGAGTATTTGTTTATTGCTTTATATTTCTATCATTATTTTATTGTGCATCTTTTAGATTAATAATTTTGAATATATTTAATTTGTTTAAGCCTCTAAAAAAAGCAAAAAAGTTATCTTGTTGCTATTGTTAGTTATTTTGTTTCTAATTCAAGTTTAAATTTTGTATGTTTTTCACTGTTTAATTGGCCACCTATTAAAAAAATGTTTGATTTATACTTTTTTTTCTAAGTCTTCTCAAATAACTCAAACTGTTAGATTTTTTTTAATTAATTTTTTTATTCAAATTCCGATTTTGGAACTGTCTGACCTCCTCTAAGATTCTTAGTTTTTAAATTTTATGTAATTTCAGGTTCTCTCAGTTTTTGATTTCTGGGGCTAAGGCCAAAAAAAAGTTATACCGCACCTCTAACTTTCTCAATATTGAAGGTCTGAATAAAATTTTTGGGAAGTACCCATAGTCTCTTTAAGATTTCTGTCTCTTTAAAACTTGCAAAGCAGCAATTTTGTGCCAAAGGCATTTGGTATTAAATTAACATATTTCTGGATGTTATACCAATTGTTAGAAACTTCACATTTTCAACTGAACATTTTTAAAAACTACTTTTTATATTTGCTCAGTACTCCATAATCTTTAAAACCTGCAATGCATCAAGTTCTTGTTGGTACCAAAGCTTGTCTCCAAAAGCGGTTAGAACTCTTAAAAAAAAATTTTTTTTTTTTTGATGGATATAAATTGTTACTAACTTTTAACAATTTTATGTTTACAATTAATCATTTTTTAAAAATGATATTATTTTTGCTAATGTCATGCAAAAATATGCATAACATATTTCCTATCAGTTAAAAACTAGCATTAATTCAATCCTTTTCTCAATAAATAATTCATAAATATAATTGTAAATCTTTTTATTCAATAACCTTGATTTGATTCGGAATAAAATCTATTTTTACAGATTTCTTCTGCATCTGCCTAACACATTTTATTTTATAACTGTTGCTGAACAGCAGATCCAATTTTTTGGGGGTTTACGACTACTGTTATTTCTCTTTTTAAAAAAATTTGAAAAAAAAATACCATGTTCATTTAACTTCTGTGAAAGCTATTCATCGTTTAAATTTTTATTACAACTTCAGTGTGACTCATAATTTTTGTCAAATTTTTTTATGTTGATTTTATTTAATAATTTTTTTTTTTTAGTAAACACTGTATCTAATTATGACAAAAATGTTTAAAATATGTACTATATTTTTGTTCTTTACATATACACAGTAATTTTTATAGTGCACGGTAAAGTTGGATTAAAATCCTTTAATAGAAAAATATTTCTAGCTTACATGTGGTATTGAAATAGTTTAATAAACTTTAAAATCAATTACCAAAACTGCAATTTCCCAAACACAGTCCTAATTTTTCATTAATTTGATACATTTATTTTCCTATTTGATTAAGGAGGTAATGTATAACAATTTTAAAATTAGTTCACAACTGTATCATAATTGGTGGCTTCATAACAAACAAAAAGTTGAAGATTTTGAAATATTTAAGGAGGGGAAAAAATGCCATTTAAAATTTAATGCACATCATTTAATATTTTCCATCGTTATTTTTTTTTTTGTAGTTTACCAAATGACATTTTATATAAATTCGTAATTAAGTGGATGTATAAATGAAGTGAAGTTAGAAAGGAGCAATGTAGACAAATAAAACAGTTTAAAAATCTTCAATTTGGGATAACTACAGTGAAATAAAAATTTTTATTTGTTTATTTATTTTTTGTAGTTTTCGTAATTTAGAGTCTTTGAAAACAGCAATCGAAATTTTGAAAATTTAATTAGAAATTTGTCTACTTTTGTTGTTTTCCCACATAAATGATTTTTATAAGATTGAAATTTAAATAGTTTTAAATTGCATTTTAATGATTTGTAACATTCTGGAATTTTGTTTTATATTATAAAAGTAATAAATCTTGTATTTTAAAAGTATCCATATTTTAGAAGCATTAAAACATGCACTACATTAATAGTTTTTTTTTAATAAGTTTATTTTATTTATCTTATCAAGTGAACTTTATCTCTTTTTGCACTATTTTATTATTTATTCTTAATATTCATTTTTTTATTTTTAGGTTTACTTGTTCATTCAAATTTAGACTTTTCTCTGCCTTTTAAAATGTATACATGTGAACATTGTGAATACTCTTCTTCTAGAAAAGATAATGTAATCACTCACCAAGCTAAACACAATAAAAGTCGTTCTTTCATCTGTTCTTTCTGCCAAAAGAAATTCTCTTACAAAACAAGTCTGAATCGCCATATTAAAATTGTACATTTTGTCTGATAATCTGTATATTTCAATGTAAATGTTAATCTTAATAATTCATTTAAAACAACTTCTTTTGATTTTCTATTTTAAATTCTTTTGATTGTTTATAATATTTATTTTTGACATGTGTCAAATTTGATTTAAGGTATTATTAACACATGTTTTCATTAAAAAAAATATTGCAGCTAAACTCTAGTTATCCAGATAAATTAAAGAGAACACTCATAGTTTTCACACCTTAAATGGAGGGATCCTTTTTTTAAAATATCCATATCAATAAGTCACTAAATTTGAATTGTTTTTTGTAATATGTCTGTGTATTAATTGTTATTGATTTAATGCTTTTTTATTATTTTACTATTTATAATATTTATTATTAATATTTAACTATTTTTCAAAATGCAAATGTAATTTACTGCACAACTTTTATTTTAATCAAAATAAAATTTTGCTTCTAAACCTGTCTACCAAATAGTATCAAAACTGAAAATAATGTTTGGAAACAAATCTTTATATGTGTAACTGTGTTAAGTTAAAGAAAAAAATTCTATATATTCCTGATATTCCTGATGTATTTTATTTTTACATTGTCCTCTTTTCCTCCATTTGCTTTTACATTAATCTTAGTTTATAACACCGTTTGTCTTCATTACTTTAAGTTTATGTCATTTGAAATAGAATGTAGAAAAGATTGCTTTTGCTACTTTTTTCGAATGTCAACCTTTTTAAAACAAATCATTATAATGAAAAGTGCAATAACTTAATTTGCTTCACTCTTTTTTTTTCTTCTTTTTTTTTACTGAAGAAATCACTATCACTGTATTGTAAAGTTTTGTGACTATGAATGCAACATATCTGGAAATGGTATCATAATTTTCACAAGATAGATCCAAAAATTTAAAATCACCTTTTTGCATTGGAAATCAAAGCATAGTTTGTTTAAAGCCAGCTTTTGATTTTTGGACACAAAGCATTACTCTTATTGTAAGAATGAATACTGAAAAATATACATGCTTCAATAATTTCATGATGAATTTTGAAATTCAGAATGAATTTATTTCTTTCTCTCACAAAAAGATTGATCAGATCCTGTTGTGTTGTAGAATCCCTATAAATGAGATATATTAGATAAGTTGGTCAGAAAAAGAATGTACCCTCCAACAAATCCTTTTTTACGAAGTTTGCTGTAGATATGTTTCTTCAAAGATCAATTAGGCCATGAAAGTTTTGCATGCATCCAACTTGAAAGAAAGATTTAAAGAAAACTTTGGAATTTAAGCATCCTTAATCTTCTGGGCTGCTTAAAGTATTGAGCTTTTTTGATCATGCACAATTAATTGTCTCTCTACTGACCTATTTCGTCAACAGCCATGTTTGTCTCCTATCTTGCGGCAACCTGGGGATGACTGTGGATCACCCCCTTTCTGCCTGACGCGGAAGGGAGGATTTAATGCCTAGCCTCCCAATACTCTGATAATCGGGACACTAGGGAAGTTTTGTCTAGTTTTATCCCTTATTCCTTTCTGATTTTTTTCTTGTATAATTTTGTTTTATATATTTCTTCTTGTTACTAGTTTCTTTATTTGTGTGTATATCTTCGTCTCTTAGGAAAAGATCTGTATTCACTCTCACCTTGTGCATTTGAAGTTTTTTTTAAAAAAAAAGAACACAAAACAAAATATTTCTTTCTTAACTCATCAGCTCCTGTTTGGTACACAGAAATTAATGGGTGCATTTTAAAGGAGTGTGTCTCTTTAAAATTTATGAAATTGTTAAGCTTTAGTTAGTGATTTTTTTTTTTTGCCTTGATAGTCACTTTATTTTTAGAATTGGCAAAAAAAGCAATATTTTTTTATATCCTTGTTCAATAAATGTAAATGTTTCTTCAAAGTGAATGGCAGTTGCTTACACATTATTTGTTTTGTTTTGAATAAATCACAAATATTATTTAATTTTATGACACATAAAACTATATATTGATGATTGATAGATTTCGTAACATAAAATTAGGAGAAAGCATATGTTTTAATTATGTAAGAAATAACACTGTATTTTCCAGTGTAAAGGGAATTTCTTCTTATTTTTAAATATATAACTCTTATATAAAAATATTTAAATTTTGTAAAGTTAGTAACATTGTGTTTCAATTTTCTAAATTTCTTCATTTTTAACTTGTGTTTCATTTATTTTTTAATGTTTCAGGTGCCGCTATTGGTTTCACAAAAAAGTCAGTAAATCATCCTGAGGGTGGCAAAATATCAGTGTTTGTGTGCTCATTTTGCAGCTATACCAGTCTTCAATTGTCTCACATTCGCTCTCACCAAGTAAAGCATTCTGGTGCTCGGGACTATAAGTGTCCTTATTGCAACAAGTTGTTTTCATTCAACAGCAGTCTTCGTAGACATCTTTGTTTAGTGCATTCATTATCAAAAGATGTAGCAGCAAAATATTAGCAAAAACCTTATCATTATTTCTTTACTTCTTCATGATGAATTTCTTATTTATGATATATTTTTGTAACTTTTTTTTTTTAGATTTAGAAGTACAAAATATTCCACAACTCTAATTTTCATTTTTTTTTCTAATATCAAAATTTATACCTTTTGAATAAATCATAATATGCATTTTTTTACATTGGTCTTTTGAAGAATTGAGAAAAAACGTATTACCCTTTGAATTTTATAGAGCATAACTGCTTTTGGTTCTTGAGCCACTAAAATTAATCTGAATGCATGTATAGTATCACTCAATGTACATTCTTTAATGAACATGCTTTCTAATTTGTAACACTTAAAAACTGTTGTAACCTTAGCTGTGTTTCTGATGATTATTTTAATTTACAACAAAATGTATAATGAAAAAGTTTTAGTTGATTTAATGAATCATTGTTTAAATTAAATCTAACAGTGACAACTCTAAATTGTCACTATTTCAAATATATTTATTATGCAGCAAATCTTTGTTTATCCTAATATATACTAGTATTGTAAATTTCAAACATTCTTTGTTTGTTTTTTTTTTATCTCAAAATCTAGTAAAAGTCTGTTATAACAATTATTTACTGCAGCAAACGGCTAAAGTGAGCTTGTCGTAAACAAATACACAATATTTAATGATAACATAGCATTAAAATTGACTAAACAATGAGAAAAAACATTTATCTCTCTCTCTCTCCTACTTTGAACAACTGTTTTGATTTAAAATAGACTGTTTTGCCTACATATTGTAGACTAAATTGGGAGTTATTGCTAAAACTATTTGCAATAGCTGTTGACAACAATAACACTGAATATGAATTTCAATAGTAAGCTGTGAAAAGAGGAAAAAAGAGGGCAGTATATATATATATCTGTATGTAACAAAAAGCTCATTCTTTGAAGCACGCAGTAAGATTTTTGAAAATCTCAGATAAAATTTCCATTTGTTAGAAAAGAAATAACTTATCCCGTGGTTGCCCTCGCCTAACTTTATTTACTTAAAAGGTTAAACATATAGTGAACTTATATTCATGTTACCCTTTTTTGTATCTCCTTTCCATTACAAAGGAGATTATTAATAAAAATGTCCTCCATTTTGTCCTTTTTCACTTAATAGAAAAATGTATCTCCTTTGAAAAGTACTTATTGCAATAGTGAAAGGCTTGTAATTTTCAGCTCTCTATAAACAGCAAAAGCACAATATATATTATACTGCTATATAAATAATGTTTTTGCTGTTTGGCTACCCAATATTCCACTATTTGGCCTAATAACTATGAGTTACATCCCTAATTTTATATGGTTTTTATTTACTTTGTATTAATATACAAAAATTTAAAAACATGCAACGTTATTATCAATTATTCCTTTAGTTTTCTAATATTATGTTAAAACAAATCCTTCTCAAACCAATTCAACTTCTCCTACAAATCTTTGTTGCTATCTCGCTTCTATCAATAACATAAAGTATGTTAAAAAGCAATTACATAATTTATTATTACTATATTTTTTCTTTCATTTCTTATTTAATGTGCTACTAGTTTTGCATATATTTTTGGAGTCAAAAATATTTTTGCTCTTTACTTTGTATCTATATAGTAAAGATTTTTTCTTCTTAATTAATTAAAAGAAGTTGCTTTTACTGTAAGTAGCTTTCAGAAAATACAAGTTTTCACTATAAAAAATACATCTATTGCAAGAACTCTCAGGTTTGTTCTTGTACTGTTATAAATTTCATACAACAAAAAATTATTACATTATGCCATGTGTAATGTCTTTCATGATGAATTTTACATTGCAGATGCCTCTGCCAGCTTCATCAGAAAAGTTTTATGTCGACCTGATGGTGGTCAATTGACTGTTTACTCATGCAATATCTGCAGTTATGTCACATCAAATATATCCCATAGTCGTTATCACCAAGTAACTCATTCTAGAGCTCGTGATTATAAATGCTCTTTTTGTTCCAAGTCTTTTTCCCTCAAAAGCAACAGAAATCGACATATTAATTTAAAGCATTTATGATAGCATCAGTATTTTTTATTTTTCATTGCATTTCGCAAGAGATGAACTTAAATATATTACATATAATTTGTTTTAAAATTGTTTTGGAAGTTCTCCTACAGTATAATCTCAATAAGGTGTTTCTCGTTGAGTTATTCATTCCTTATGTGTATCAAGGTTAAAAATCTGTAGATGTGTAATAATGGGATGCTCATTTTGCTTTCGGAAGTAGAAGTAAAAACTTTATAGCAGAGTATTTTATAAGTTGATTTTTTGAATTCCTTCTTTGCAATGAAAGTTGGGGATAGAATTAGACATCAGTAATGCATTTTGTCATGCAGATTTTTTTTCCTTTCCCAAGTACATTGAATGTGTTTAGCTTAAAACGTTGCCTAATATTTTAAATAATTAACATTTAAAATAAATACAAAAAAAGTAACACATTCATAATGAAAATTAACCTTTTATGTAACCGAAATGGCGAAAAAAAACATTTAAGCTATGTTGCATCTTTTGAGTTGGTAAGATGGATTTGAAAAATTTAAATAATTCATTTGCATCATTTTCAGACACTTTGTATGTCGTGTCAATGTAAGGGACTAATTTTCACATTTTTCAAAGTTATTGTTTTATGAGTTCTTTAGGATTTTCATTTATCTTTTGGACAATGCTAAACAGGTTAGCACCATGGAAGAGTGTTTTTTGTAACCTAGTTTTTTACCACATTTATATTACCCCAACTGAAAATTTAGTGATGGATCTTCATACCAGTTACACACAAAGTTAAAAATAGAGGGTTGATGTGTGACCACATCTAATCTTTTATCCTGAACATGTCAGGAAAAGACTAAATCACCTGTTTTGTCATGATTAGTGAATCAATTTTTCAACAATTGTGACCAAAAAAAAAGGCAACTTGACTAGGTTTTATAGATATTATAAAGATGTCATTTAAATGTAACATTGCATTTGGATATGCTCTGAAGTTCCACTGTACAAAGAATATGTCTATTACAAGATTAGTAGGTGTCACAAATTTGTTTATGTTGTTACTGTTATTTAGTTAAGTATGTGAAAGCTCTTGTTTTAACATTGTGTAAAAATTTTGTCACTGTCAAATTTGTACCAGTCATCACCTGTTACATACAAAAAAAATTTTTATGTTACAGGTGATGTTAAATTAAATAAAATGTTTTGAGCTATTCATGTGGTGGCTAAAATTCTTTAATTTATGTCAACAATACCACCATATATATAGGTCATGCCTGTTTATAGTGTCTGGTGTTAAAGAGAAATCTTTTTCAATACATTTTTCTGTGGAAATACATTATCAAATTCTACTCTTATCTTGCATTTGTACTTAGTGATGTTTAGAGGGAATCTTCTCCAATTTTTATCAAAATCTTCTCTATTTCTAGAAAATAGACGAGTTAGAAATTTTTTTCGATTTTTAGCAGCTATTGCAAGAGTTTTCTAATGTTTTCGTTATTGTTATTAGGCCACAGATTTATCTGCCAAGAAATTTCTTCTAAATGTTATTGTGATTTTTCTTGTAAGTAGCACATTCTGGGTCATGAAACTACAAGTATTTTTATTTTAGTACAAACAATAGAGGGCAAAATTAGAGGTTTCTGTCGGCCTCAGAGTAACTGAATCTAACAAATGGCTATAAAAAAATAATGGTCTGCCTGTCCTCACTATTTTTTTTTTTTGTAGTTAAAAATGCACCCTATGTGCATTTTATTATTTTGTATTTATAAATATGGAAGTATGAATATTTTATGATGTTTTAAACATTCCTTCATTTCACTCTTATTTACATTAGTTTTTCTTCCGTTTAGAAATAAACATTGTACAATTTACCATGTATTAAAAAATGCTCAAAAATTGATGCCTCACATTACTAATATTAACTAATTTTTTTATAGTTTAAAATTTTCAATATTTGAAGAAGTGGCCACTCTTAAAAATGCTACAACTAGTCAATGGTGGGTCGAAACATTTCCTGATTTTGCTCTATAACAAGCGATCTTCCTCATGATCTAAATTGAATATACATTGACATAAAGCATGTTTAAAAATATTAGTCTTCATTTCATTAGTTGTTTTATTTCAAATCGCAGAAGATACTTTCATTATTTATGCTCTGTATTTGGATCTTTTTTTTTTCTTCTATTTTCTTATAGATTGAATTAGGTATAAAAAGTTATGTAAAAATAAAGCACTTATTTATAATGCTTCCCCCGGTTCTTCTGTAAGGATTTTAAAAAGGAATAAAAATGCTTTTATAATGTTTTTTTTTTTCATTTTTGTGTATTCTGAAAACCAGCTTTTACAGTAAGAAAGAAAGAAAAAAACTTATGTGAAGAGTGGAATTTATATATTTTTTATTGTTCTCCAATCACTTTTTCTAAGCATAGAAATTTTCTATTTAATTTTATGCATATTCTCAATATTTTATTTCTTATGTTACAGAAATCTCTTATGGCTTCATTCACACTATTGTGAAAGATCCTAACAGTAAAGAAAAAAACCGTTATTCATGCAATTTCTGTCACTTTTCCACCCCTTCTGCAGCTGCTATCCGTCGTCACCTAGTAACACATGCTGGGCCTGAAGATTATGTGTGCTTGTATTGCAGTCAACCTTTTGAATTCAAAAGCGGCCTTAATCGGCATGTCACTTCAGTGCACAATCGGCGTAAAATTCGCTAGAAAAGACAATTTTATTGTCTTACTTTTCTTATATTTTCTATACAGTTGACACTTTCTATATTCAGAAGTTTTCAGTCTCATTCATTATGCATGGAAAAATGCACTGTATTGCGCAAAACATTTTTCTCAAGCATTGTTTCTAATATTTTAATGGTTATAAACATGTTGCATGTAGTATAAACTGTTATATCATTTTTATTGATTGTTAAATTTAAAATATTGGGAAATGTTTTTGTTATTATTCAATATATATCGAAGGACTTGGGGCAATAAAACTACCACTTTTTCATCTAATTCAGGAAAACATTTTTGGTGAGAAGCATTCCAAACACTTGTTAAGTTTAAATATTGCAATTAAAGAAAGTGTCACTTATCAATATAAAGCCTCAAGCCCTTCAATTGTATATGTAAAAGTTTTTTTAAGCTTTAAACATTTAGCATTTTTTCAAAATTTATTATTTTAATGTTGCAGGTACCTGTATCGGTTTCACTAAAAAGTTTATAACACATCCTTATGGTGGAAAATTATGTATGTATTCATGCATATTTTGCAGCTATACTAGTGGACATTCGACTGACATGCGTCGCCACCAAGTAAAACATTCTGGTGCTCAAAATTATAAATGTTCTTATTGTAATAAATTATTTTCATTTAATAGCAGCCTTCGTCGACATCTCAGTTTGATGCATTCAATTTCAAAAGATATGTTAAAGAGCTATTAGTCAGAATATATATATGCAAATTTTTTTTTTCTGCTCAAACTTTTTAACTAAATTGTTACCAAATGTTTTGCATAATATTTCTTTTATTTATTCATTGAATGTTTAAATCAAATTTATGCTGTTTGAATAAAACATTGGGATTAAAAACTCTTCATTTCTATTCTTAATGTTTTTTTGTTTTTTTTTAATTATAAATTCTTGCCCGTAAATTAACATATTTATATAAAAAAAATAAACTTTACTTCTTTTGTTTTTATATGGTAATTACTGTTACTTAAAGATATATAATATGATGATGTTTATGCTTAAAAACTTTTTCATGAAAGCATTTTTATTTTCTTATTGTCTTTCAAATTTGTGTAATTGTATGATATTAGTTTTCAAGGCCAAGGAAAACAATATGTTGTGCATTTGTGCCAGAATAATCCTTTTATATTAAAAAGTATGTCTATTGCTAAATAAATGCTTTCTGTTTATTTTGTTGTTTACTTTCTTTATCAGTATTGCTCAGTATAATTTAATGTAATTACTATAAACGTTAAACTCCATTTATTGATCTTATGATTTTAATATTAACTATACATGTTACAATAAAAACCTAAACTCTGATAAATCTTACGTTTTATCAGTAAAATCTAGCTTTTACCAAGTCTCTGTGGTAAAATCTGAGAACAACCAAGCCGCTTTGGTAAGTCCTAGGCTTTACCAGTAGAATCAAATTACCTGACTTAGGCTTTTTCCATAGCATATATATATAGAGAGAAAGAGAGAGCAACTTGATATTTAATAGATATTTTTGAGTTTTGAATTTATTCACTTTGAGATTTGTGTGCTCAAAAAGATAATAGTACATCCAAAAAGAGAAGTCATCCAAGAGAAGAAGTTTATATAGATATTCTTAAATAAAATCATCTTACAAAGCTCAAATATGTTTAAGTATTTTATTCTGTGGAAGTTTAAAGTTATTTACTATGTTGTTACAAGTGTTGCTTGAATATTTAACTTATAATCCTGTGTTTCTGCAAAATACGTAGACACTTAAGATTAATTAAATTTTTAATGTAAATTTTTTGTAGTAATAAATTGCTATTGGTATTCATTTTTTAAAAAAGTAGTAGCCTATTTAAACAATTGTGTGTGGTCTTGCGTTGTCGTGATGAAACACTTTTCCTTTACTGTTGACAAGCTCGGAACGTTTCTGGATGACAGCTTTGTTCAAATTGCTTACAGTGTACATCTGAATTTATTGTTCGGTTCCTTGCCTGAAGCTCAAAAGAAGAAGCTCTCATTTTGAAGTTGTTGATGACGAACCAAAACCGTTTGCATCAGTTATCATTCTTTTCAAAACTGGTCAATTTCTCCACATTTTATGTGCATAACGCAGATGCCATCAAATGAGCTTCTTTGAGTTCATGAGGAACCCAAATTTCAACTTTGCTTATGTATCACATTTTCTTTAGATTAACGTGGACACTTTTTTGACTGATCTTCAGTGTCCTTGCAATTTCTTGTGTCATAAAACGTGGTTTTGACTGAATTTATTTTGCTCTCATCGATCTGGGTAAGCCCTCCTGATCGAGGAACATCTTTCATATCAGAATCACTACATCGGAATTCCTTGAACTTGTTTTGGCATTAACATTCTTGCACAGCATGTCCACCTGAAACTTTACGCAATTTTTCCCAAGCTTTACTCACGTTTTTCCCTTTTTGGAAGTAAAATATGGCTGAAATTAACACTTTGATCTTAAATGTTGTGAATTTTCAAGGATGAAAAAGGTAAGTTTTTAAGATTATTTTTGTTTTGTGTTGCTGTACAGGTTAATTGTTTTGAGAGTGCAAAATACTTATGTATGTCAATGAAAAGTAATGAAATTTTATGTTTACGTTCATAAAGATTTAAAATAGCTATGCTATTTTATTTGCCATTAGAAAAAGTAAAGTGAATCAAATTAAATACTAAATGTCATTGGTTTAATTATCAATGGAATTATGTGTTAAATTACTTTTTGAAGTCATAAGTTACATGTAATTATTATTATTTGAATTCTCATGCTGTAAACGGTTCAAAATATTAAATATAGTGGTAATATTGTTAGCCTTTATTGTTGAAACTGATGATGTTTCCCCATATATTTAACACATTTTACAGAGTATCAAAATTTGTTTAGTTTTAAGCATGTGTCATTTTTGGGTACTGAGGGAGTTAATTTAGGCATTTGCTTGTCCCATCAATAGAAATGGTTTTGTTTATGCTGGTACCCCCTGAAGAAATCAACTTCGGTAGTCATATTTTTATTTTATTTTCATTTCCTTTATTGCTACTTTTTTTGAAATTTCTGCTGCTTTTTAGCACGTTTTTTTCCAAGAAGTTTTATCTATTTAGAATTTTTTTAAATTTTTGTTTTCTTTTAGTATTGTAATTTTCAAATTTGGTTTTTGCTGCATTTTGCACTTTTTCTTATTTGAAAAATTATTTGGATTAAGTTTCTAGTTTTAGATGTTTTCTAAATATTTTAAAACGTCAAAAGGGTTTTGTTGGATGTCTAGGTTTTATATGTCTAATTAAGTATTTTCTTTTTAGGTTAATTTTAATTCAATGCAAAGTACAATATATAAATATTTCATGGCGCATGACGAGTCATGCGACCAAACAAGGAGCACTGAAGTTAGTCTTGACTTAGGGATTACTTCGAGCAAAAAGTTACTAAGTTATATATTATGTTTAAATAAATTTAAAAAAATTTAAAACTTGTCCTTTGGCGGA